TTCTTCTTCTTCTTCTTCTTCTTCTTCTTCTTCTTCTTCTTCTTCTTCTTCTTCTTCTTCTTCTTCTTCTTCTTCTTCTTCTTCTTCTTTGTGGACAGCCTGTATTTGTTAACTCAGCTGATATCATGCTGGCTATGATGCGGGTGGCCCTGGTGCAAACCAACTTGGCTCAATCCTGCCAGAGATGGACGTTATTAAATTCGGGGGTCCCGCCTTTTATATTACGTATTAGTGTTGAAAAGGACGTTAAACCCATATCAATAATATTAAAGATGTGTTTTTTGCCGTGAGCACTCACCGATAACTTTTACTAAGAACTTTGAAATAAGTGTTATCAAATCCCTGTATGATACGGTTTGATACAGTTGATGGGGGCCAGAATTCATGCAACTGCAGAGGCTCCTAGATTGGCACAATTTGACCAGTTTCTCCTAAATCAATATATTTTGATATTTTGGACCGCTTTTCCGGACCACGACTGGGTCTGGGGGCTCTCGTGGCCGAGAGATTACGGTATTTGCCTCTCATTCACAGGTCCCCGGTTCGAATCCGGGTAGCGACGGAAAATTTTCTTCTCTAAAATGTCTCCTTTAACCAACTTTCCGGTGTTCTGTCGTCTGCTTTCGTCTCCACTTTCTGCCCCCACCCCCCTCACCTCCTTTGCCCCCTCCTCTGGGCTCCGGACTCTTTCTGCAACCTTTCTACTTCTACTCCTTGGCTCCTTCTTACTGCTGTCTTTCAGCCAGACACCTCATCTTCTGGTAGAAAAGATCTACACCTATATAGTCTTCTCGGGACAAGGGCGAAAATCTCGAAGGTCCCGTGTGCAAGTTAGGCACGTTAAGGATCCCTTGGTGGTCTAAAAATCGATAAAAAAGTAGGCTTCGGCCGCCACCCGAGCAAAATTCAAAATTTCCTACCAACTGAAAATGTTTAATGTGTCCCGCGCGCTCAAAGGACCTTATGCAGTTGCGAGCGCCATAAAACACTTACACAAGAAAAGAAAAAAGAAGAACGACTGGGTCCAGTTTCATGTTATATTTGATATATATAGGTCAAAACAGAATCACATGGTCCATGCCATTGCGAGGTCATATTTATTATTATCATTATTATTATTATTATTATTATTATTATTATTATTATTATTATTATTGTTGTTGTTGTTGTTGTTGCTGTTGTTTTGTTTGCACGCGGAATGCGATAGACCGTAGTAATTAGTAATGTACTTCCGTGTCAAATAGATGAGGCATGTGTTCCGACCACTACTGACCAGCGTCATCAATACCCAACCGTGTACCGAATCGATCTGATTGTGCATAATATTATGACCAACAGTCACATGTTATTAACCC